AAAGAAAATTCTGTTTTTGAAATACTGCTAGTTGATTATAGTTTGAAAATACATTTCATTATTTTTAGCAATGCATATCTTTGTTGTCTTTGTTGTTTTATATTTGCTCATTTTGTTTTCATTGCATGTCATTTTATAATAATTTATTTCAGCTTTAAAAGGATCAGTTCATTTTACTTATCGAATAACTAAATGTCTTTCCATGTTCGATTCATATACGGTTGAATGCATGATACAAATCGTTGTGTTTTGCTTAATTCTATGTGCAAATAAATGGTTTCAATCTTTTGTGTGCTTAGTCTGTGATTGTATATTGTATTTATGCAGATGTTCTTCATCTTACTGCAATTATTGGTGAAAATTTTGCAGTACTTTATTTTTCTTCTTTTGATTGCCTGTTTCTATTTGCTCTCATAATAGTCCAAACAACGCTGAATCTGATAAATTCTTCATTCAATTGGCTGTTGTCTAGCTAACATATAACTTTGACAATAATGTTATAAAAATTATAAAATGTTAATGTCATATCATATAACATAAATTAAATTAAATGTTAATAAATTAATAAATCTATAACTTAAAATAACATCATTTAACAACTGCAAATCATAAACAGTGTTTTATTATTTTTCTTTCATCTTTCACTTATAAATACATGAGATTATAAGCTTGAAACAGATTGAAAAAGGGGGAAAAAAATAAAATTCTGAATACTCTCTTACATGCTTTGTTCTTCAAAAAATTATCATGTAACCATACCTATATTAGAATTAAATCTCTTAAATTCAGTGTCATTTAACCCTGCATTTATTTCAGGGACATAAACAATGGCTGGCTGAAGTTCAATTCCTCGGCGTCCTTCGGCACCCAAACCTTGTAAAACTCCTTGGATGCTGTTCCGAAGATGGTGAAAATGATGAGATCCAAAGGCTACTAGTTTATGAATACATGCCAAATAAAAGCTTAGATGACCATCTTTTCAACAAAGCTTATCCTGTCCTTCCCTGGAATTTAAGACTGAAGATAGCATTGGGAGCAGCAGAAGGCTTGGCACATCTACATGAAGGTTTAGAAATTCAGGTCTCTCTCTTACACCCTTTTCTCTGTCAACATAACAATTATCATCTACATTCAAATGTATTTGTATTGACATCATCATTCAACAGATCATACACAGGGACTTTAAAGCTTCAAATATTTTGTTAGACAACGAGTTCACGCCAAAACTGTCAGATTTTGGGCTAGCCCGGGAGGGTCCAACCGAAGATCGAACTCATGTATCCACTGTGGTAAGGACCGATTCTACTGCGAATTTTTATTCTGTCTTCAATTTTAGCCATGAACTTTTGAAATTATGTTGAAAGAGAGTAGAGTATCATTTTTACTAATTCTAGCTGTATCTTTTTGTCCGTCTTATGAAATGAACTTTTTCTAAATCCTAAGAATGTCTTCTAAACTTAAATCCATCTTCAAGCTTGTTAGTTATGATTAAAGTTCGTGTTACACGACATAACTTCGGCCTTCATTATGTTCGTGTTACATGACATAACTTCGGCCTTTATTGACACCTATCATTTATTGGGAACGAAGACTGATGTACTGGTTTAGATAACGATTTGCATACATACCACTTAATTCCTATGTATTTACATATCTAACACCCATACTTCAATTTTTATATATATGCTGCTCTACCCATGTATGAAAACGTGCATTTCATTTTTTAAAAGTTAAAATAGTGGTATTTTTTATGTGATATAAATGGTTGGAACGGTATAAATGTAAAAGAAGTATAGTTTAAGTGTTAGATATGTAAATACATAGGAATTGGGTGGTATGTAGGCAGTAATTGTAGTGTAGGCCAAGCTGATGACTGATTCAAGTTCAAAACTTGTTACACACAAATTTCAGCTGTTCCTATTCTTGTTCCTAATCTAATAGGTCTCTACCAAAACAAAATTTACTTTTTATGCTTTGTGTTCATTTAGGTGCTAGGAACTCGCGGCTATGCCGCACCGGACTACGTTGAAACTGGCCATCTCACAACTAAAAGCGACGTATGGAGCTTTGGGGTCGTCCTCTATGAACTCCTCACAGGTCGACGTCCACTCGAGAAAAGCCGTCCGGCCAATGAACAAAAGCTTCTGGAGTGGGTGCAGCAGTTCCCCATTGAAAGCAAGCGGTTCAACATGATCATGGATCCAAGACTCAAGTATCAATATTCATTGAAAGCAGCCAGGGAGGTTGCGAAGCTGGCCAACCGGTGCCTGGCGAAGCGGGCCAAGGAACGGCCGAAGATTAGCGAGGTAGTTGACATTTTGAAACTAGCTGTTCATGTCACTGAAGCAACAAGGAATGGGGGCTCTATATCAGGGCATGGAGTGGGTAGATTGGAGAAGGGAAAAGGAAGTGAGCCTTAAGCTGATTGATAATGTTATTGGAAGCTGCTTCTAGTGCTTATAAAGGAACTCTGGTTTGCAATTTTAAATAAGTTGTGAAATAGGTAATGTGGTGGTGGTTTTCTCTTTTTCTTACTTGGGAGAGGCTTGGTTTTGAAATAGCTGTACTGTGTTGAATGATGGATATAATAGAGATACTGAAATTGTTGACCAATGTGTGAATAAAGGGTCATATGATTTTGATTTTTTGTTTTAATTGTGATTTTCTTAATTTTTTTTT